AACACACACACACACACACACACACACACACACACACACACACACACACACACACACACACACACACACACACACACACACACACACACACACACACACACACACACACACACACACCGCGCGCGCGCGCGCACACACACACACACACACACATTTATATGTATATATATAGTAGTTTATTGTATATGGGCGGATCGGATCGGAAGTTACCACAGGATGCAGACCTTTTGCGCAAGTTAATGCTCTTTGCGTATACAAAATAGTTTCGTATTTAGAATAGCGAGTATCGACAGTTCAAACCGTCCAATCCCAATTCTACGTCTACTCTTTTATCGACATGATGCCCCGAGTGATGTTCGGGCACCCATTAATACATATTTGAGTCAAGGTATGTATGTCGAATATGCATAAACCAGGTAATTCGCGTTTCGACGAGCTCTCGTGTGACAGAGAGTGATAGACCTGACAGGAATATTCATCTAGTAGAATCTATGCAGAAGTAACATGTTTTACCATGGACACCGTGTGATGTAGTCTATGGGCTTATGTAATATATTCCAGATTTGTCANAAATCATTTAATATAGGCCTACATCTGCTTACTCGCGGCTGTTTTGCATTAAACGTTTTATAACAGCTTCTAGCCACCCACCATTTATAATTATTATCTTTTTCAACTGTCAACTCACTTCGATTCGACGCCAGCTTCACCATGATGACGTTAACGCTTGCCTGCGGGACCGAATCCCGGCGGTTTACGGGCGAAGCTCGACCACCGAGCGGCGCGACGACACAGGGTATAAGCGTGCAGGACAGGAGACGATGTCTCTGGTGGCAGAGAGTGGTTTGACGTAGCGTTGACGTTATCGTGTGGAAACGTTTGACGGCGCCGCATCGGATTACCTAACCCTTTGATCGGTTAACAGACTAATAAGCGGGTAGCACTTGGCTGACGGGCATAAAACGTGCGAGTGAAGTGCAAACGCGGTGCAGCAGGGATACGTGTAAGAGGTTGTCGGAAAGATGCCAGGTCGGCGAAGGGAGCATCGCAGATGCCCACGCACACAGATAAACGTGCCTGCACAGAGACACACTTACGCGTACGCACGAACGTAAGCATACACGTAAGCTCGTTCACACGCAATCACGTACGCGGCACGCACGCACGCACAAACACACACACAAACAAAACAAGCACTTTCACAAACACGCACAAACACGCACTTTCACAAGCACGCATGCACGCGCATACATACTCACACGCTTTTACAAGCACGTACGCACGCACACACACACAAACAAGCACACACACGCGCGCACACACACAGCTCACGTGCACGTAAAGAAAACGCGTGTTTGCCTGCATATTATGTATAACGTGATAAGCGCACGTTAATGTATAGATTTCCAATCGGCGTGTACGCTCGCGTGACGTTAAATGTAATTCGACGCGGTTCTGGCGATCGGCTGCCGAGTTAAAGCAGAGCGACTGTAAATAACTCGCTAATGAACGCCCGTTTGTTATAGCTCGCCGGCGCGCCGTGTGACGTCACCGAGTCGTTATTATAGATGAAACGCAGTAATTGAGACGATTAACACAGAAAGCGGCCGTGATTGGTAGCGGAAAGGTAACAGAACTCAATTATTACACTTCGGCAGTTTTCCTTATTCGCGCGCGCGTTGCTATCCTGTCTGGGATTCATTCGCTGCCTCTTTGCGTCAACTGCTTACGCGCTGCCGCTGCTGCTGCTGCTGCCGCCGCTGCTGCTGCTGCTGCCACCGCTGCTGCTGCTGCCGCCGCCGCTGCTGCTGCTGCTGCTGCCGCTGCTGCTGCTGCTGCTGCCGCTGCTGCTGCTGCTGCTGCCGCCGCCACTGCTGCTGCTACTCCTACACTTCCTCCTACTACTACTACTACTACTAATATTGGGGGTGTATAGTGTATAGTGCATAGGTATTAGACTCATATACTCCTAAACCTTTCAATCGGCGTTGGTACAGGCGTAATAATTAGATTTTTGACGAATGTGTACAAACGCTTTTTTCTCATCTCGCCAACAAAGAATTAAGTTTGTATCGGATTTCAAGTTATCGTCGGAAACTAGACTTCTTGCTCTACTCACTGCTGTGGGTGGCTCTTTCCATGTTCATTCATGTAGCCGCATAAAAAAATGCGCAGGCAATGGCTATATTTCGGTGTACAACATGTGCATTTCCCGTTCGTGCGTCTCGCGAAAATCGTATTTAGAAAAAAAAATTACGGAAGAATATTTGAGTTAACAAAATACATCTGTTCATCGGCGACAACGGGTGGCATTGTAATTTCTCGAAGTAACTCCGGTAGATCGATGGAAAATTTCAGCATAGTATGGTCGTCAAAGGAAAATGATTTCCCTCTGCGAAAACCTATAAGTGACTCAATTCGCGAGCGTTACCTGTAAAAGAGATGACCGAATTTCGTCAGTTCAGTGGGAGTTCAGGGCAGCTTTCTTTTAGGTCGCAGGTAGTTGCGTGACTGTTATGGTCGCCCAGATAACATCTGTTAGCGTGAAAAACACCAGAAAGGCCACACGGTGTGCTTGCTACGGTCGTTAAAATTAGGATTGTTACAGACAAGCACAGAAATTGTCAATATGAAAGAAATTCACGCACACGAATATTGTTAGAACGAAAAAGTGTGTGTCAGCGTTCAGCCACAAGCCTTCTGTTTACCGATGGACGATATCGATCAAGGTAAGCCGCAAAGTACCTTTATATCGTGAGAGATAGAAAGAGGGAGCGAGAGATGTGTCTAGGCGTA